TAAGCTATGAAGATCTGCAATAGTTACAAATCTATTTCCACTTCTGCTAAAAATTATTGAAAAAAAGAAGTCTAAAAGCTACAAATACTTAGCATCAATAAGGTTTGCACAAAAAAAAAAGTGTGGAGTAAGATAATTCATACTTCCAATACCTTTTACTTATAGGTAGTGGTTGCTAACCAACAAGGTAACTTCCATTCCTTTGGTATTACATCCATTTCTACTTCATCCAACTAAATCCTATGTACCACCATAGTAACTTCATTCAACTCTTTGCTACCTTTTGACTATTAGTAACATACTATGCTTAATCTCGATGTGGTTGTAACTAAGCAAGTGCTTACTGATCTTCAACACTCCTACTTTGCTAATTTTCAAAAGACTTTCAATCCTAATCTCTGTATTAACTCCTGATGTCTACCCTTCACTAATGCCTTTGTAAGCTTATGAACAAGCATGTCAATTGTAGCACAATACTTCATATCTATTATTCTATCTTCAATCTTCTCTCATATGAAATGATATTGAATATCAATGTACTTGGTTCTTGAATGTTGTTTTGGATTCTTGGCAAATGCAAGACATACTTGATTGTCACATATAATTAGAATTGCTTTTAATTCCACTAGTCGAATTTTTTCTAGGAATTATTTTATCTAACATGCCTCCATTGTATAATGACTTGTTGCCATGTATTCTACCTCCCTTGTTGAACTTACAATAGTAGGTTGTCTCACAATTCCATGAAATAGCTCCCACTCCAATGAAGCAGACAAATATTGTTGTAGATCTTCTATCATTTCTATCTCCTTTTAGTCCTAAATACCTACTTATAACCAAAACTAGATCGATTTGCTGGAAGGGATGCCTATAAGAGATTGATAGTCTTCTTCTATAGCCTTCTCCTACTTGATTGCATCTTCAGACTTCAATGCATCACACAAAGATAATAGATCAACAAGAAGAGCAAGATTTTCATGTTCTTCACTTACTTGAGGAAAGATGTGATCCTTTTGTCATTCACCACATTGCCTTCTTTCTTTCAAAAGATATCTCCTTTCATTTGTTGAAGAAGATTCACCTTATTGCACTCTATATTCTTTTCCAACCTTCTTCTCTCTTAAACCTTGTCGTTATTCACTCAATAGTTGGTACTCCTCATCATCATCATCATCATCATCATCATCATAATCTTCAATATCTTTATGTCCTTCATTGTTGTTCCTAGCAATAATAGGAGCTTTCATCTTTTCAACCTTCTTTGGCTTTTCATCTTCATCATCTTCATTGTCTTCATCTTCTTTTTTCTTTGCTGAATTCAAAGATGTGTCTACAAACACACCATTACTTCCACTTGGACACATCTCCAAGTACTCACAAGCACTCTTAAACTCCAAAAACTCAACATCATAACTTTTGATGATCTTTTTGGTTTCCAAGCATATTAGCCTACATGCCTTAGTACCTTCACAATAACCAAAAAATACACACTTTGTACCTTTTGCATCAAGTTTGGACCTCATATAATCTGGTGTTTTTGCATATGCAATGCAATCAAAGGTCCTCATATGAGAAATGCAAGGTTGCCTCCCACTCCAAGCTTCTTGTGGTGTCATTGATGCAAGAGCAATTATTAGACACCTATTTCTTATATACATTGCATTCACCATAGCTTCCCCCTAAGACTTAGAACCAAGGTTTTGAGCATGAAGCATACTTCTTGCCATCTCTACAATGGTTTAATTTGTCTTTTCAGCAACACCATTTTGTTGTAGAGTGTATGGAGTTGTGGTTTGTCTAGAAATTTCTTCATTCTTCAAATAAACATCAAATTGCTTAGATATATACTCACTTCCATTATTTGTACACAACACCTTGATCTTGCATTCACTTTATTTTTCAACAAGTGCTTTAAAGTCCTTAAATCTCCAAAAGCATTCACTCTTGGCTTTAAGAATGTAGATCCAAATCTTTCTTGAATAATCATCAATGAAAGTAAGAAAATACCTTGATTCTCCAATACTTGTATTCTTCATAGGTCCACATACATCAGAATGGACAATTTCTAGTAATTTGGTAGTACATATTGTTAAGCTACTTGAAAATGAGGCCTTTTGTTGTTTGCCTTGTATGCATCCTTCACATGCAAGTTATTTTGCATTTTGGCTTATATTGCCAAGATCTAAGCCACTTACTATAGACTTGAGTTCTCTCATGCTCTTTACACTTAAATGGCAAAGGCGACAATGCCATATGTTCAATTTATCTTGGTTTGATGTAAACTCAGCAATTGCAGCTACTTCCACTTCTTTCACCTTCTAATAAATGAGGTAGTACAAATTTCCCTCTCTAAAGCCTTCAAAGACCTTGTCTCCACTTAATGTTCTTACAAAATATCCATTCATGTCAAATTGAACTTTAAAATCTTCCATCACAAGTTCACTCATTGAAAGTAGGTTTTACTTCATGTTAGGCACATGAAGGACGTTTTTGAATCTGATCCTATTGGTTTGTCCATTCACAACCACCTCTACCATAATAGAGCCAATTCCAATGGCTTCACATATACCACTATCCTCCATTACCACATCGGATGCTAGAATAGTCTCATAAGTGTCAAATGAATGCTTATAAGGTGTCATATGCTTAGAACAACTTGAATCTACAATCCATCTTGATATGGCAGCCATAGACATCCCATTTGTTGCTGTGAATGCATAATCATGTTCTCTAAATTCATCTTGCATACTATTTATATTCTCCTTTTCCATCTTTTTGCCTTTGTAGCAATTTCAAGAAAAATGGCCTACTTTGCTACAAATGAAGTAAGATTTGATATTACCTTGTTGATTTGAATAGCTATCCTTGCCTTGATATGAGTAAAGTGCTGAATCTTTATTTTGGGATTCTTTTTCTTTCTTCTTGATTATTTCATAGACAAGTCTTGCTGTCATATAGTCCATTATAAGCTCTTTTAGTTTAATGGACTCCAATGCCACAGTGAGGTAGTTGTAGGATTCGGGAAGGCTCATTAGTAAGGTCATGTTAATATCACTTTCTTCTAAAGGCTACTCAACAATTGCTAAATGGTTTGCAAGAGCCTTTACCTTACTGACATGAGCCATGAGGTCTTGACCTTCTTCCATCTTACAAGTGAAGAAATTCCTCATTGTATAGATGATGTTGGATAAGTTCTTATACTCATAGATGTTAGAAAGAGTCTTCTATGCTTTCGTTGGTCCTTTGCAAGAGATAATGTGGGAGAAGTTGGCTTCATCTACATTTGTTGCAATCAATCCAATAGCCTTCTTTTCACGATGTTTGAACTCCTTCTTCTTATTCATATCAGCATTTATGCTTAGAGCCTCTTTACTTTCATCTACAATATCCCAAAGATCCAAAGATGCCAACAAAAGCTCCATTTTTATCTTCCAATGGTAGAAATTCTCACCTTTGAACTTCTCAATTCCTCTTAATCCTTCACCTTCACTTGAAGCCATGTTATAGGGAGAGATATATCAAAAAAGATTGTAAGAAGAAGTCCTAATGCTCTCAAAATCAGCAAGATAGTATTATTGCCTTAGAATCACAGAATCCTTCTTTGTGAACAAATTAATGTTCTTACTTTCAGAAACACTCTCAACTTCACTTCTAAGGCTTTGCACAAGTCTAATGACCTATCTTAATGTCTCAAATCTGAATTGCCACTCAAATATCACTCTTATGTTCACAAATCATCTCTATACACCATAAAAGGCCTTTTAAGCATAATTAGCATCTTTAAAACATGAAACTATAAAGTTAGACCACCAAGGATCTATGTCAACAATAGCACAATGTAAGTATTCTATAACTTTGATTTAAGGAGAAAAACCAAATACCAACACCAAAATGCTCTTAACCACAAGTAAGAGCAAATCAAGATCTAGATTTATATATAAGTAAAGATAAAATAAATAGTTATTTAAGATAATTTAATAAAAAATTACTATATTAGAAAAAATAAAATTTTAAGAGCTAAAATTTATTCATATTAATAGATTTATTTAAAAAATAAATCTTATATTTATATATAATTATAAAGATTTATATATATATATATATATATATATATATATAAATCTTAGTGATTTGAATTATTTAAGATAGTTTAATTATAAATCAAATTTTAAAATATTTAACTCCAATATATTTTTGGACAAATGCCTAGAATAAATTTCTGTAAATTTTGGAAATTACAGATTATATATTATACATCTTCATGTTAATTTTTAAATTAACTATTATTATCCATATAAAATCTCAGAGTAATTTTATGTTTGAGTTAATTGCTCTAAAATACAATTGCATAATTATTTAAAACTATAAGTATCTAAACAAAAATAAAAATAATAATAAAACATATTGTGTATGTAATAGCAGATTAGTTCTTATATATATATATATATATATATATATATTAATAAATAAATGACCTTCTTCAATTTTTATTATAAAAGATATATTTTTTTAATTTTTAAATTTAGCAATTATTTAGTGTGCTAAAATAATTGTGCCTAAATCTATGTTTTTGTATTAAAAAAAATCTACTATCAAAGTAAAAAGTTATAACGTTGAAGGAATAAGACAGTATTTTCTTTTTATAATTAATTTATTTTTAATGGTAAATTATATAATTTTTTTCTTCTATTAAATATAATTTTAGTGATTCTATGTTATATTTAAAATCCAAAATATATGTTTTTCTTTCTATGAGATTTTCATTTAATTTTAACATATATTTTAAAGAGAAATTAACTTTCTACAAGGTAATTTAAATCTCAGATTTAAACAAGAACAAGTGGAAATTACTATTGGATTGGATTAAATATGCGTGGTCGATGTCTGAAATCAGGGTGGCTCTCCGAACCCCAGTTGGCTGTGGGAATGGGGGGGGGGGGGTTTATGCCATCCACCCAGAGCCACCATCATCATCCCTTTCTCCTTCCCGTTGTAGATGGGTGATGCCTCTATCCCTCTCTACCTGTCTCGCTTTCTCTCTCTTTCTCGCTGCTCCAGAGTATTCGCGGAGCCAGCCCCACCCCACCAACGAGTCGTGGTGTTTTCCCTTGCAACTTCACGACGCAATTCGTCGTCCAGGATAGGGGTACGGATGTCTGTGGATGAACTGAAAAAACCCAATTGGAAGAGCCTAGGATATTCTTATCTGGTTGAGTGTCCTTCCTTGCGGAGGGTGGCGCTCCATCCCTTCCTTCACCTTCTGATTGTTGCTGTTGGTTGGCATTTCTGATTGCCTCCGTGTTGGAGGTCCTGTCTGAATGCGGATATCCCGTATTCTTTCTTACAATCTGCTGGGATGGTGTGTTTGAGTTATGGAATTCTAGATTAGACTTGATCCTGGAAGACTTTAGGAGGATTTGACCAGTCCAGGCACTTGAGGGTGATTGGCTTTTGAGATTAATTGCGGTGTTGGTGCAGAAAAAACTCTGCGAGGTTGGAGTTTGAGGCAGGGCATTTTGGGTGTTGGAGCTTCGGTGGTAGGACATTGTGCTGGTTGCAATGCAGGCTCTGGGAGTCAGAGCTGCGAGCAGCAGAGGGGGGCTTGCGTGGGGGGACAGTGTTCTAGGTGGAGGCACGGAGTTTCGCAGCTCTGGAGATGGCAATGGTGCTCTGCTTGCGGGAAAGTTGCGTAAGAAGGTTAGAAATGCGACGTGCGTCACTAGCTACAGTGCTCCTCGGGCTGTATTGAAGGAGGCAGGTGTATTGACGAGGGAACGGGATAGCTTCCGAACGCAATCCAGTGTAACCACGGAGCCACCAGGGAGGAATTTTCTTTCCGCTGAGCAGAAGGTTTTCGAGGTTGTGCAGAAGCAGGCTGCCATGGTTGACGAGCAGCAGAGACGAAGTGGTATTTTGTTGCAAGACGTTCGGCCTGACCTGAATGCTGGCACTGCTGCGGAGTTGTTAGACGAGGCATACGTTCGCTGCGGCGAGGTGTGTGCTGAGTATGCGAAGACCTTCTACTTGGGTAAGCTTTCCTCGGCTTCGATCTCTTTAGTGTCTTCTGTAGCCCCCCCCCCCCCCCCCCCCCCCCACCAGTGTTGGAATGACAAACAGAAATTCAATGCTGATGATGCTTTCAAATGAACCTGGGTGTTGTTACTAAGATATGTTAACATTTGGTCTTCTTTGCAGGAACAAAGCTCATGACTCCGGAGAGGCAACGTGCCATATGGGCTATATATGGTAAGACATTTTAGGTGTGCCGACTTCCTGGCTGTACATATTATCCTCTTTTTTCATTCCTTTGCTCTTGTGTTCACAGAAAGTTGAGTCGTAGTCGACGGACATCTGGCCAGAGAAATCAACAGACCATCAGGACATAGTTAGTTCAATTCAAGCTCTGCAACTGGACTTTCCTCGTTTCCTCACTCATCTCCTTTTCCGTCTTTAAAAAAAAAAGCTGGGTTTCAGAACAGCATCCCAGGCACTTGTCACTTGCCTCAAATGTAGAACCTTAAATGAGTAAGAATCCGAAAAGGTCGAATATGCTCCCCTGGGTTAAACCTCTACTTGCTCAATGCAGTATGGTGCAGGAGGACGGATGAACTTGTGGATGGCCCTAATGCATCTCGCATCACCCCCACTGCCCTTGACCGCTGGGAAGATAGGTTGGAGGATATTTTTCGGGGTCAGCCTTACGATATGCTGGATGCCGCACTTGCTGACACGGTTACGAAGTTTCCTGTTGATATACAGGTGCGTTACATCCCTCATTACCTTGTAACAATTCCCAAGGTCGATTGCCCAGGCTGTCGAACATTTGGGCAATGGTACTATTTTCTTAAAACAGGTGGTACCTACGTGAACAGGATTATGTCGCATAACACTCGTACTTTGAATTTTCTACTTTCTTTTCTGGATATCATCAGCTGACTCAATTTCATATGCTTCTATTATGTAGCCCTTCCGAGATATGATTGATGGGATGAGGATGGATTTGGTGAAATCGCGGTATGCCAACTTTGACGAACTCTACCTTTACTGTTATAACGTGGCCGGCACTGTGGGTCTGATGAGTGTACCTGTTATGGGCATCGCGCCCGAATCTAAAGCCACAACTGAGAGTATTTATAGTAATGCTTTGGCGTTGGGTATCGCCAACCAGCTCACTAACATCCTGAGGGATGTTGGAGAAGAGTAAGTGTACCTCCTGACCAGTCCGTCGGTGTTTGTGATACTTTTAAGTCAGCAGATCGGATGATTGGAAGTATGCAGTTGTAGTGGAATGGGGAATTCCGAAATTGATTGATTATGGAAAGGACGCTAGCTCCTAATTTCCTTGAACTCGACGAGTTTGTGGTGTTTCAAGATTGGTCAATTTCCTGCCTGGACGAGCTTCATAGCTTGGCCATGTACATTTGCAGGATGAGGCTCATAGTGAAACTTTCTTTTTGTTTGTAGTGCACGCCGTGGCAGAGTATACCTCCCACAGGATGAACTGGCACGTTTCGGTCTGTCGGATGCAGACATTTTTGTCGGAAAAGTTACTGATAAATGGAGGGCATTCATGAAAGACCAAATTAAAAGAGCTAGAGTGTTCTTTGTGGAGGCTGAGAAAGGTGTACGTGAGCTGGACAAAGACAGTCGCTGGCCTGTAAGTAAAACGTCCTTTTAAGATGATATTTATCCCTCGAACCCTAGATCTTCAGGTGAGGGCTGCAGAGTCCCAGTCCATGGTTCTACATAGCTCTCGTTGCATGTGGTTCACTCTAGTCAATCAGTCTATAGTAGCGAAGATGTCTTTTAAACAGGAAACCTATGTATACATCCTCACAATCCATTTGTGTACTTGATCTTTCTATGTTGCTCATCCGTTTTAGGATTTAAATTGAAGGATTGTAAGCTAACTTCCCACTGGGTATGGTTAGCACCGAACCACATTCCCTCTCTCGCGCTCTCTCTCTCTCTTTCTCTCGTCACACACACACACACACACATATATATATATATATATATATATATATATATTTTCACACAGGTCACACACACACACATATATATATATATATATATATATATATATATTCACACAGGGTACAACCTCCATTACAAGCCATTTACGTAGTCTCGCTGTTTTTGGTGTCAACAGGTGTGGTCCGCCCTCATTCTTTACCAGCAAATTCTGGACGCCATTGAAGCCAACGATTACGATAACTTCACAAAAAGAGCTTACGTAGGAAAGTGGAAAAAGCTGGCTTCTCTACCTATCGCTTATGGCAGAGCGTTGGTTCCACCTCCAGATGCACTTCCCAGGTTAGCACGTTAAGTTCTAACTTCTGATGTACCATGGGTATCGCTGGTCAACGAATTCCACCAGAATCTGTTTCGCTGTCACAGGGAATCCTGAAAGAGCTGCATTTGCATCCCTGTCTTTTGACGAAACTCCTAGAGCCGGAAGAGGCAAAAATTGTAGATGTAGTGGAGTTGACAAGTCTTTTGTACCGTCCGTACTTCTGTACTTGGAACCATTTATGTGAGCCGGTTGTTTATATAGCTGTGTATAGCTGAGCAGTCTTTGCTATCTACTAAATAAAATTCTTCCTTCTCTTCTTGGAAAAACTACACTTCACGAATTAAGATATCTAGTCGTCAGATAACGCTTCCGTGAAGCATGGTGTGCAAGTATACTAGAACTATTATGGGTAAGACTTGGACTATTTATGCAAGATTATCACCGAATACCTCAAGTGTGTGGCACTTCAAGCTCCTACCAACTGTACTTTGATATGTATATGAACATTTTTGGCAACTTTATTATGCGTAATAGTGCCTGCACTAGATAAGCCATCAGCCCCTCTATGAGAGCCTATGCTATGCACCATTCCCTCCCATGTACCGCTACCCTCAATCGCAAATGTGTACCCTAAAGAAATGGGTGTATTTCTGATACCTTAATCATTGAGGGTCAAGGTTCACCTTGTAGATTGGCTGTTACAAACATGCCGCACATAGCACATCTGTCAACAACTCGTTTTCATTGTTCACCACTTTCTGATACTTTTAGACTTTCTTCTTTTGTCTTTTAAATGTCATACACTAAAATACTATCTTCTAAATGATCTAAAGTAAAAAAATGTTGTGGATTCATATATAGATAAATATATATATATATATAAATATACGAATATATTTTTTTTTTTCACACTTGTGGAAAGAGGATAAGGGCAGATTGTGGACAGTGGAGCATGTATGGAATCCTATACATAAAAAATAATGTTTTCTAGTATATAGAATTAAATATAATAAGTATGTAAATATTATTTTTTATTTAATGCATCTTATATAAGTTAATTTTATTTAAATCCTTCTTCAAGCAATAACACCATAGATAATGAACTATCTATAATGTTGTTTTTTGTTTTTTGTTTTTTTAAGAGGAAAGCATGCATTTTTTTTTTTCTTGTTTAAGAAGATAATTTTTAACTCATGCTCTCAACCATTCTTAATCCTTATCTCTATCCAATGATTTAGTTGGTTAAAACTATTTTATACTATACTGATTGAATCCATACAATTGTCATGGAATTAGTTCAATTAGAGATAAAAACAACCAGAGGGTATATCCTTCTAGTACAATACCCTGCATGCACTAAGAATACATATTTAACAATCTTGGGGACAAATTATTTTAGTAAGATTTTTAAAGCTTTGTAACTAAAAAAGCTTAATATATAAAATATAAGAGCCATAAAATCATCAATTTTTAACTTAAGTAAGCTCAAGTGAATACAAACTTTCTCAGAAGACTTACTTTTATTATTAAGCTAGAAAATAATATAATATATAAAAATAATATGAAATATTATAAAAATTTGGATTGTAATTATAAATAAAAATAAAATAATAAAATAATAAAATAATAAAATACTTATTTAATTTATTTAAGTTTATTATTTAGGTTTTGTAATTAAAGATAGAAGTTGTTGGATTTATTAGTAAAGGGTTTAGACGAGCTTTGGTATCAAAAGTATAATATTTTGACTCCTAAGCCATCCCATGTTGGAGGATGAGGTGAGTGATAGAGGACTTTATTTCCATTGGTTGAAAATTATTTTCAATGGACTTCAAGATGTTGACTAGGACCACATTAGAATTTGGAACCACTTTAGGGTGATCCATTTGAGACAAGATAGATCATTCTAGGTAAGACAATCTATTCAAAGTTTGGAGATTGGATTCATAAAGCTTGTGTTTTGGACTAGAAGTTGGATATAAAAAATATATGATTTGGGGTTTTGATGAGAGAGATATGGTTATTTGAAATTAGGATGTGAATTTGGCACCTACTGTTACTCTTTTAAGCATATTGAGAGTTGTAAGAAAGAATTTAAGAATTAAAAATTTAAATTTTAAAGCTAACTTAAAAAGATATATTTTATGCAAAGAAAATAATATATTCCAATCTAGATTAAAGGAGAAAGAACTATTGGAAGTTAGTACTTTAAAACTAGAATTTGTAAGTGAGTTTTTTTTAATGGAGGTTTTGGTTTGGACCATATCTTAAGTTTTTGGATGAATTTTCAGCTCAAAATTTCTATAAGTATAGATGACTATATTAAAAAGTTTTATATATAAAATTTATATTATTTAAATATTTTATTTTTGAGATATGATGGAATTAGTGTATGAATGTTTAGAAATTAATATGTTTAATACCTGCTAGAAATTAGGCAATATCTAAAGACCTATGATGAATTTATGGTTGATTTTTTTGTATAGAAGTAGTCAAGAATATAAGTTAACTTTTAGAGAATTTTGAATCTAATTAAATAATTAGATTAGATGTTATTGAGTGATACATATACAAAAAGGATCTCTATAGTAATACAAGTGATTTTAGGATATCTAGTCACATTTTGGGTACTCTTGTGCATCTGACTAGTGTATTTGATGTAAATGTCTTCTTAAAGATAAGCTATAAATAATATTTTTATTTTATAAAATTGTAACTTGTTTAAGTGTTTAGTAGAAATTAAAAGCCCAATGCTAGCTTGAGGCAAATTCTTTCTACTACAACACTCTTCAAACCATGTCTAAGATGGTGAATCTTTAGTTTTGAAGTAAGCATCGCTTCTAGTGATTTTGATCTCATTTTTTCCAAATCTTTTAAAATCTCCCTATTTTTATTGATTTCTATCATTTTTTCTATTTGCAAACTTTCTATTTACATAATATTACATTTATCAATATATTTTCCACCTCACATGTACCCAATATACATACATTACTGCTCAACATATTCATGCTTTCTTTTCCTTCTATATACGCCCTCCAATTTGCATGCCTATCTATTGTAGCTTTCATTTTGTACCTTATCATTCTACTTCTTACTTTTTCTTCTCTAATAATGTTGTTGTCATATGGCATGATTTTTTGTTTGAGAACACACTAGTTATCTAATTATAGAGAATTTAGCTTTAATTTATTGAACAAGCTTCAATAAATAATGTAGTCTTATTATAGAAGCCAAATAAATATAATAATATCAAAAAATATTCTATCAATAAACTTCATTTATATTTGAGAAGCTTTATACATAAGGCTTTCTAAAGCATCTAGAAATGTCCTAACATCCTTTACTATACCAAATCATAACTAAATCATTTGCTAATAAGCTTGATTTTTAAGAAGCTCAAAGAAAATCCATAATTTCTTTACAAAAATCTACCTTTATACCATAATTTTGCTATAGCTCCACATCTCTATTTTTAACATGTATATAAAGTCTTGGCTCCTAAAAACCCCTTTACTTTGTATGAAATATCCAAATTATAGCAAAACCCTTTTAAAATATTTTTCTGTCACAAAAGATTTTTTTTCCTTAAATTTTAGAAATTTATATCTCTTAATCCAACCATGCAATTTTTTTCAAATTTCTAGATAATTTAGATTGTATCCTTAAGTTTTACCACAAAAAAAATAAATCTTAAATTTACTACAAATCGTTTGGTATCTTACAAATCCCAACAAAAGCTCTAAATCCTAATTTATATCCATTTGATTTCTATTTTCTTTATATTTCAAAAATCCAAACTTCAAATGCCACAAAAATTATGTATAAATTTTATTAACATGATAATATATATTTTTGGATATTTTTAGCTAAAATCTTATCAAATTGCTCAAGACATAACTCAAAACACAACTACTAGTAATTTGGGCCACTAACTACCCTTAGATTGCAAGCATTGACTTCAATTTCCTATATCTCCTTTATTCTAGCTATTAATTCACTCAAAAGTATATAAAAAATATAGCTAAAAATATTTTCTTTCCAATCCTAATTATTGATTCTTCATTACTTCTTATTTGCATGTATTATGTCTAAAAGAGTGATAGCATATACAAATCCAATAACTTAACTTTGAACGCCTTTATCCCTTTCATAAAAATTCTAAATCACACAAAATTTACACCAAAACAATAGTTACAAACCTAAAATTTCTAATCCTAATCTCTTCAGTGTTAATGGCCTCAAAAGAATAACCCTAATTCCTAATAAGGCATTAGACAGCCTCCTTGAAGCCCATTGAGCATGAATTTTGGCCAATAAGAATGGAGTATTTCATCATCCATCTCCATTCATCCATACAATTGATTTAACTATTCTTTTTACACTAAAATCCTTCTCTAATCTTTTTTCTAATAAAGTTTGTATAATATGTGCCCTAAACACCAAATAAAAGAAACAAAATAAGATTTCAAGAATCACCAATGTCTAATAAAGATGGCTCTAAATATATAAAAACTATTATTAATATAAAATTAACTTTAATAATAGCCTTTTTAAACTAACTATTTCAAAGTAGTAATCTAATCATATTTTGTAATCAACTAAAATCTAATAATATGGCTTTCACTACATTGTATAGTAAATTATATATTAGATATATATGTGCATTATTTTTACATGATAGCCGAACCACAATATGACACCATTTCTACTTCTATCTTTTGTTTTGTGATCTAAATAGTGTTTGCTTTGGCATGTAATATTGTTTCTTTTGTACCATATATGTCTTCATATTTAGCTACCACCTACCACTACTTAATCCATTCACTACCGATTACTTCAAATAATAACTCAACATTCAAACTCATAGCTTAATTACTCACCTTCTATCTATCTTCTCTCTATTTCTTTTTTTTTTTTTTTCTTTTTTTTTTTTTAGAATTATGGCCCAATTTCTATAGAATTGAATGCCTTATTTAAAAAATAAACATAATTGATACTTTGTCAAGTTTAAGTGAGCATCTACATAGGAGATACAACAAGAAGAAATCCATCAATTGTAGTAGCGGAAGACCACATAACACCAACATTAATAGTACCTTAGTATAGATTGAGTTATATCTTTTAATTTTGTTAAACACTCTTATCAATTTAAAGTCTATAAATTGGTCAAGAAAATTGACTGACTATTCATATTTAAAGTATATTGGATAGCCAATACAAATCCTCAATTTTTTGTTTAATTTAGAATCTAATGCAATATTGAATGTAAGGCCATTTTGAGCTTAAAAGTAAGACCTGCAATCTACAAGCCCAAATTCAAAGTTTGCATTGTCCATCTTTGAGATAAATCAAAGAAGAAGTTGTCAATTTCATGCATGGAATATAATATTGCCTCCAACAATGCAAAGCATATATCATTATTAAGCTCTAGATCTATTGTACATATATTTATGGAAGCGTATTTTATACACAATCATACAAAATTATTTATTAGATCTCAAATTGAATATGAAAGTTTATAAAAAGCAAAAATACACATTTAAAGCATAATTTTGTATTTTAGATTATAAAATCAAGCCTTATAATATCAACAAAATCTTGTTCCATATAAGAACTAATCTTAGTGTCTACTATACTAAGGTGTATATTATTTGACATAATAGGAATTTTCAAAAATGTGCAACATCATAAAAACTCAAGATTTTTTTTTTTTTTTTTTTTTTTAATTTTGATTATCCATAAGTTAACTAATTATTCTAAGCTACACAAATTCTAACACCAAAATAGAATAAGTTCAAATTTTGAAACAAATCTACTTTATTGTAATATATTTTATTATTGTAGTTTAATCAAAAAATAACAAAGAATTATGCAAAGAGAAGTAAATTGTACAACAATTCTAATACTTCTTTTGTGATCATTAAATTTCCAAAACACTAATCTCTCTCTATGGATCTTTATGCTTACCATTGTAGAACCTGAGATGAACATATAAAAGCGTAGAGGGATGCATTAGTCATTTGTAAAGCATCAAAAATGTCCTCCTTGGTGGATACTATACTATAACTCACAATGTTGATGTCCATGACTTGAAATTGATGGAAAATAGAAAAACCCAATGGATACCATGTCTTATTTATATAAGATATATTGAACTTGTTTAGTTTTGAAAGTAGGTACAAACTCCGTAACAATGTCAAATGATCTCAAATACAAAGAAAACTTTTGATGAAAACAATATAAATTCCACAACAATGTCAAATGATTTCAAGTACAAAGATCATTTTTTGAGGTAGAAGTGAATCATATGTATTGTAAAGGCCCTATAAATCTTTAAACTTTTTCTTCACTTTTAATGTAAACAATAAAAAATGTAGCCAATTAGAGATGGTTTTTATCTCCTCTAGTTTATTATGTGTGGTTATCTCTTCTTGAGCTGTCTTATATAAGATATATTTTTTTCTAAGTAATTAAAAGAAATAGAATTTGTTCATTTTTCTTTAAAAAAAAACAATGTAACAATATTTATAATTATATAATAAAGGATAAAAATATTTAAGTACATGGAATTTTATGGATTTAGGAAAAAATTTCTTTGTTGTCTTGAATTTAAGTAAGAACGATTATGACCATAAAAAGTAGATGAACCAATTACATACTTTTTTTGATTTCTTGTTAGAAATTCTTAAATTTTTTTTATTCCTTTCAATGATGTTTTTTTTTTTTTTTTTTTTTTTTTTTTTTCATGCAGTTTCCATACAAAAGGTTGTGCCTCTTTGCTTCAACTTAGACTCCAGACTACATTTTAACGGGTTTGAAAGTTAAGGGTGGCAGCTAGAATTCCAAAGTGTGGTATGGTGTGGCTTTTATATCAATAAATTTTGTAAAACTTCAACTGAAAATATTTTTCACTCCAACCAACGATTCTTTCTAGCTCAAGTTGAATCTGAACCTTTACCATCTGTTGGAATCAGGTCGATGATAATGTCCTAGTCAGAAGTCTTCTGAAAGTGCATTCTTAGAGATCATTGACCTTGCTATCTTTCCATTTTTCACGTTGTTAGTGATTTTCAGTTCAATAATTGCGTCGGTGCGAGACAACCGCTCAATTGAGTAGACTGTAGATAAAAAACTGAAGACTCCGCTCTTCACCTTCGTCATCATCCTCAAATATCATGGGAGGTAACGGAGGGTGGGAGGTCCGACAATCACGCAAACAACATTCTATCAAATCTGCACTAGGTCTCAGCTTGGGCACGGTACTGCATGTGCTTCTCAGAAGCTATGATCATTCTTCCAGAAACAGATGAAGAAAGGTCATTTTATGACAATGAATAAGACTAGTCCAATTCCTGTGCATCCAAACCAAAGCTTCATGCCGATTACTCGCAATTTAAAATGCTATCTGATCTCATGCTAAACTTGGTTTCCTGTAAATCAATGCAGGGCTGCGAAAAGACATGGATAAGAAGGAATTGAATTTAGCAACGCTTTGAAGATATTGAAATATATTACCAAAAAATGAAGAATTTGAGAGACGAATGTTAGTAATAGACCAAAGTCACATTCTGCTTACTCCGAGGGCCAGAGAGCACATGAGTATCCTGGAGGTCACATACATGTGAGGATGACAGGAGTTACTGGGTCTAAAAAATCAGCACTGAAGCCCGACTGTACTTTCACCTAATTGCAGTAAGCATTTAAACCCTAACTCTTAAACACATACGCTTCAGGCTCTACAACCCCTTCATTGGCCTACTCAATGGAACCTTCCTCTTCCTCTCCCTCAACATCCCCAGCAACGATTTCATGTGACCCAGATGTGCCATACTGTTGCTCTAAGTACTTCACCGACGACTCAGTTAGAATCAATTTGTCGGCCCTCAAGACGTCGTAAAGGTTCAGATTCCGGGGTGAGATAAGCTTGAAAGTATTTACATTCCTGCTAGACAACACGAGCGATTCTGAAGGATTCATCGAAAACAAAAGGGAATTCTCCCCTTGCTTGACGCCCCATCTCTTCAAAGCAGACATAAAATCTTTCGTCTTAGGCGTAGAGAATTTTTCCTCAAAATCCTCCACGACAACAGTGTTCGCGCCAGCACTTTGCAGAGCAGTGCTAATGGCTAATCTCTTCTCCTTCTTGTTGATCTTAATAGACCAATCCTTGGGCTTAGGGCCGAACACTACACCACCACCAGGACGAAGAGGCGTCCTAATAGACCCCTGGCGAGCCCTTCCGGTACCCTTCTGTTTGTAAGGCTTCCTTCCTCCTCCTCGCACCTCACTCCTCGTTAAGGTCGAAGCTGTTCCCCTCCTCCTGTTCTGCATTTCACAAATCACACCCCTGTGCACAACGGCCTTGGCCGTCTCAGGCCGCGCCGTTCGCAGGTCCATCTCCACCTCTCCGGCTGCCTCGCCCTCGAATGTCAACTTAGGGAGCGCCACCGCCATGGCCACGACCTTCCCGACTTTAGCAGTCGACTGGCATTGCAAGGATTTCTTCACGCTCACCCGCTTCAGAGAAGGCACCATCTTCAACCCGGTGAACGATACATTGGTGAGATTCTGGGACAGAGGCGCAGCAAAGGAAGAGGACGAAGAAGTGAGGGACAACCCCATGCACGCGGCGGTCGACGCCATCGCTGTACACACACACACAAATTCACCGGCCAAATTGTAGTCGCAAGCTGCATCGACTGGCTGGGACGAGGGGAGAAGTGGAAGAGGAGGAAGACGACGGAGGGAGGGAGGAAGAGGACGGATAGAGGGAGTGGACGGAGAGAGGAAGAGGACGGAGAGAGGGAGGAAGAGGACGGATAGAGGGAGTGGACGGAGAGAGGGAGGAAGAGGACGGATAGAGGGAGTGGACGGAGAGAGGGAGGAAGAGGACGGATAGAGGGAGTGGATGGAGAGAGTCGACGGAGGAGGGGACGTGAACATCGTCAACTCTGATACAGCTGGATAAGGCCCCCCCCCCGTCCTCTCCCTCGGGTTCGGGCCGAAGCTGCAACTCAGCCTTGGATCCCCTTCAGAAGAGATTTCCACATGAGATGTCCCATTTCTATCAGAGCTTTCCACCACATGGCTCATGCCAAAACCTGATTTACGAGGGGGCATGAATTCTAATATTATTTTTTCTTCTAATTTATTAATAAATAAAAATATTGTGAATAATTATTAGATTAATACATTAAATGTATACAGGATTATACAGCATTAATTATAAAATATTTGAAGAGTTTATAATTATAATGTGAATGTTCACATAAATTTAACGACTATTTACATTTTACATATAGAAGGCATTATGATACTTCTAAAAATTTTATAATCAAGTAAATACTAGATTTTTTTTCTTTGTTACTTCTAACAAAAGTTAAAAAAAGCATCATGTATGTGAATAAAATTATAACCATCAAGTATTACAAACACATCTTTTTTAAAAAATAAAAAGTACCAAAAATAAACATAAAAATAGTAACACAAAATAAATCTTCCAAAAAAATTGCATGAGTTTTTTAGGTAGAAGAAACTGTTTCAAAATAAAACGTGGCTTCTTTAGAAAAAAAAATAAAAAAAATATATATGATTTGATATGTGTTACCAGATATTAAAATCTGAAAGTTAAATATCATCAAAAAAATGAAATAAAATAGTGCTAAAATTTATTCAGTAAGGTACAAATTGATAATTAATCCAATTGCTTCATTTATTACTGTGTCATGCTTTAATAAAAACTAATCTTAATAATAAAAATACATTTCAAACCATTCCAAGTTACAATTTTTTTATCTTTCAAACTTTAATGTGATTTCATTTTAGTTGAATTCTAATCTGCCCAATTTAGGTTACAATTCTATTAATATTGTCATATACAAAAAAATCAACATCTTACTAATATTCTTAATATACTAGCACCTTTGTGCTATTATGAAAGAAAGATCTTGTGTTTGAAACATCTTCATGGCATCCTCACCTTCAAAGCTGCTATGAGATACTAATGTAGGAATCTATCCACATATTTTTATAGCAATTGGAAAAAAAATATTTTTCAAAATATTATATTATTTTCTAAATATATTTCTTTTTTACACAATATCAAATATAATATTTATTTTATTTTAAATATATACAAAAGTTTTTCTAATAACACAAAGTTTATATAGCTTTTTATTAGTTTTTAGAATCCAAAGATTCAGGTTGATATATCTCTTACAACTACATAATTTTTTTTTTAAAAAAATGAGGTAATTTGTACTTAGGGCACAAGATGGAAGGCTACAATATTTAAATTTTTTATTTAGTTGAAATTGAAACCTCTCCTTGACATGGCTAAATACTTGAAAAAATAAATATAAGCATTCTAATAAAAAAAATAAGATGGAATATATTTTTCTTATATGCCATGAATAATGTTATCTCTCATCAAATTTATTAGATTCATCTCAAAGATGTGGGTTTTTAAAAAAAATTAACTAAGCATGTTAGTAAAATATTTAAAATAATAATAATAATAATAATAATAAAAATCTATTGAAGAAAAGAAGTCTAAAAGCTACAAATACTTAGAATCAACAAAGTTTGCACATAAAGAAAAGTGTGGAATAAGATAACTCTTACTTCCAACACCCTTTATTTATAGGTGGTGGTTGCTAATCAACGAGGCAACTTCTATCCTTTTGACATTACATCTATTTCTACTTCATCTAATTAAATCCTAGATTCTTTCTTAACCTAGTCATCTCTAATAAATCCTAGCTACTACTGTAATAACTTCTTTTAAGTCTTTTCTGTCTTTTGACTATTAGTAATATATTATGCTTAATCTCTATATAGTTGTAACTAAGTAAATAATTCTGCTGATTTTCAACACTTCCACTTTCATAATTTTGAAAAGGCTTTCAATCCTAATTTCTACATCAACTCGTGATGTCTATCTCTTACTAAAACCTTTGTAAACACATCAGCAAGCATGTCATTTGTAGCACAATACTCATACCTATTATTCCATCTTCAATCTTCTTTCATATGAAATAATGTTGAACATCAATGTGCTTGGTCTTTGAATGATATTTTGAATTCTTAAAAAATACAAGACATATTTGATTGTCACACATAATTAGAGTAGCTTCTAATTACACTAGTCCAATGTCTTCTAAAAATTGCCTTATCTAATGTGCCTCTATTGTACAATGACTTGCTACCATGTACTCTGCCTCTATTATTAATCTTGTATTGGTAGGTTGTCTCTTACAATTCCATAAAATAGCTCCCACTTTAATGAAGAAGATATATCTTATTGTGGAGCTTCTATCATTTGCATCTTCTTTTAGTACTAAATACCTACTTACAACCAACACTAGATCAATTTGTTGGAAGGGATGCCAATTTTCATGTACCATTATCTATAAGAGATTGGTACTCTTCTTCCATAGCCTTCTCTTACTTGATTGTTTCTTGGAACTTGAATGCATCAAAAAAAGATAACAAATGAGTAAGAAGAGCAACATTCTTCACTTACTTGAGGAAAGATGTGATCCATCTACCATTCACCACATTGCCTTCTTTCTTTCAAAGGATATTTCCTTTCATTTATAGAAGAAGATTCACCTTGTTGTACCCAATGTTCTTTTCCAACCTTCTTCTCTTTTAAACATTTTTGTTTCTCAATTAATGGTTGGTACTCCTTCTCATCATCATCATCATCATCATAATCTTCAATATCTTCATTTCTTTCATTGTTGTTCTTAGCAATTGTAGGAGCCTTCATCTTTTTAACCATCTTTGGCTTTTCATCTTCATCATCTTCATTATCTTTATTTTCTTGTTTCTTTGTTGAATTCAAAAATGTGTCTACAGACACACCATTACTTCCACTTGGACACATCTTCAAGTGCTCACAAGTACTCTTGTGTTTTAAAAACTCAACATCATGACTTTTGATGATCTTTTTGGTTTTCAAGCACATTAGCCTACATGCCTTAGTACCTTCACAATAATCAAGAAACACACACTTTGTATCTTTTACATTAAGTTTGGACCTCATATAATTTGGTGTTTTTACATATGCAATGCAACTAAAGGTTTTCATATGGGAAATCTAAGGTTGTCTCTCATTCCAAGCTTCTTGTAGTGTCATTGATACAAGAACAATTGTTGGACACCTATTTCTTATATACATTGCATTCACTACAGCTTCTATCTAAAATTTATAACCAAGATTTTGAGCATGAAGCATGCTCATTGCCACTTCTACAATGGTTTGATTTGTCCTTTCAGCAACACCATTTTGTTGTAGAATGTATCAAGTTATGGTTTGTTTAGCAATTCCTTCATTCTTCAAATAAACATCAAATTGCTTAGACATATACTCACTTCCATTATTTGTACACAATACCTTGATCTTGCATTCACTTTATTTTTCAACAAGTGCTTTAAAGTCCTTAAATCTCCAAAAGCATTCATTCTTGGCTTTAAGAATGTAGATCCAAATCTTTCTTGAATAATCATCAATGAAAGTAAGAAAATACCTTGATCCTCCAATACTTGTGTTCTTCATAGGTCCACATACATTAAAATGGATAATTTCTAGTAATTTCGTAGTACATATTGCTAAACTACTTAGAAATGAGGCTCTTTGTTGTTTGCCTTGTATGCATCCTTCACATACAAGTTATTTTGTATTTTGGCTTATATTGCCAAGATCTAAGCCATTTACTATAGACTTGAGTTCTCTCATGCTCTTTACATTTAAATGGCCAAGACGATAATGCCATATATTCAATTTGTCTTGGTTTGATGTAAACTCAGTAATTGCAGCTACTTCTACTCCATTCACCTTCTTACAAATGACATAGTACAAATTTCCCTCTCTAAAGCCTTTGAAGACCTTGTCTCCACTTAATATTCTTACAAAATATCCATTAATTTCAAATTGAGCTTTAAAATCTTCCATTATAAGTTCACTCACTGAAAGTAGGTTTTACTTCATGTTAGGCACATGAAGGACGTTTTTGAATCTGATCCTATTGGTTTGTCCATTCACAACCACTTCTACTATAATAGAGCCAATTCCAATGGCTTTATATGTATCACTATCCGGCAACACCACGTTTGATGTTGGAATAGCCTCATAAGTGTGAAATGAATACTTATAAGGTGTCATATGCTTGGAACAACCTGAATCTACAATCCATCTTGACGTAGTAGCCATAGAGGTCCCATTTATTGCTGTGAATGCATAATCTTGTCTTCCAAACTCATCTTGCACACTATTTGTATTCTTCTTATCCATCTTTTTACCTTTGTAGCAACTTCGAGAAAAATGGCCTACTTTGCCACAAATGAAGCAAGATTTGATATTACTTCATTGATTTGTATAACTGCCTTTGCCTTAACGTGAGTAGAATGCTGAATCTTCACTTTGGAGCTCATTTTCTTTCTTCTTAGTTACTTCATAGGCAAGTCATGTCGTGACATAGTCTATTATAAGCTCTTTTAGCTTGATGGACTCTAATGCCACAATAAAGTAGTTGTAGGATTCGGGAAGGCTTATTAGTAAGGTCATGACAATATCACTTTCTTCTAAAGGCTTGTTAACAATTGCTAGTTGATTTGCAAGAGCCTTTATCTTATTGACATGAGCCATGAGGTCTTCACCTTCTTTCATCTTACAAGTGAAGAAATTCCTCATTGTATAGATGATATTGAATAAGTTCTTACACTCATAGATGTTGGAAAGAGTCTTCCATGCTTTCATTGGTCCTTTGCAAGAGATAATGTGGGAGAAGTTGGCTTC